GGGTTGGTTAGTTTGGTCATATATCTACGTTAATTTTAACTCCAATAAAAAAAAATTGACCTCATACATAATAAATGGGTAGATTTATCACTTCATAAGAAAAAAAATAGAGAAATTAAATTAATTCAGGAAAACTTGGCTTATTAGGCAAATCGGGCCTTGCATAGTAGGCTGACAAGTGCGTTCTGGCTATTAGGTACGACATATATATATATATATGCATATATATATATATATATATATATTATATATATGTCGTACCTAGTAGCCAGAACTCACTTCTCAGCCTACTATTCAAGGCCCGATTTGCCTAATAAGCCAAGTTTTCCTGAATTAATATATTTACTATAATTTTTTTCTTATGAAATGATAAAGCAACCCTTTTCTCTATGTATGAGGTCAATTTTTTTTATTGGAGTTAAAATTAACGTAGATATATGACCGAACCTAACCAACCCTACCTAACCTAACCTAACCTATATTTATAGGTAAGGTTAGGTTAGGTAGCCAAAAAAAGCTAGGTTAGGTTAGGTAGGTTAGGTAGACGAAAAAACATTAATTCATGAAAACTTGGCTTATTAGGCAAATCGGGCCTTGAATAGTAGGCTGAGAAGTGCGTTCTGGCTATTAGGTACGACATATATATATATATATATATATATGTATATATATATATATGTATATATATATGTATATATATATATATATATATATATATATATATGTATATATATATATATATATATATATATATATATATATATATATATATATATATATCTATATATATCTATATCTATATATATCTATATCTATATATATATGTATCTATATATATATGTATCTATATATATATGTATCTATATATATGTATCTATATATATATATATCTATATATATTATATATATATATATATATATATATATATATATATATATATATATATATATATATATATGTCACTAAGAACTCTCTGACCCGGCCAGGATTAGAACCCATGCCGTCCAGGATCACCCCTAAACGTACACAGTACCGTGACCACCGCACCAATGATCGATTATCAGATTATTACCGATTATCAGAAGTAGACAATGTTACATCCTACTGTATGGAACAAGGAGTCTTATTTATACCCATCCACTCTATATTGTCTATTTTATTTTGAACTAGAGGCAAGTGCAACATTACTTTTGGAAATAATTTTCTTAATGAATGTTGTCGTTGCAGATTAGCGGCTATGTTACGTCAACTCGCTCAATACCACGCTAAAGATCCTAACAACCTATTCATGGTGCGTCTGGCTCAGGGACTAACTCACCTTGGCAAGGGCACTATGACACTCTCCCCCTACCACAGTAACCGCCAGCTCATGTCACCAGTTGCTGTGGCAGGACTGCTGGCAACCTGTGTGGCATTCCTTGATGCTAAAACCTGTAAGTACTTTACCATCATCCACAGTTAGATATTGGCATTAATGATAACTTTTTTTTAATAATTTTTCCATTTTTTTAACTTGAAATGTACAATACTTGTTTGTGTTCATAAAAGTAAGCTTATTTGGTAACCAAAATAATCTATAGTTCTCGCCTACATGTCTCGCCGACCCTCCTTATTAGACCGGACTGATCAGTTGTAATGTTTGATAAATTCATGATCATTACCTCAGTTCCCACCTGTGTGTGGTGTCGAGGCATCAGTCCAAGAAAAAATTAGCAATGCAAGGAAAGAGAGCTAATTTAAAAAGTGGGACATATACTATAAATTTTTCACTCCATAATGTATCGGCATCGTTACACAGCAAAATTTCCACAGCTGCACTCGATCACCTCACAAAATTGCATATATGCAATCTGTGCATATATATGCAAAAAATATATATATGCATATATATGCAAAAAAATTGCATATATGTGCAATCTGTGCTGCACATAGTCAAGCACATAGTGACATAGCACTATGTCAAAACTAAAAACATTTTTTTAGTATGTTGTTGACACTCGCACGTCAAGTTTGTCCATCTTAATGTTTACCTCTTACCTTCACATTTACTCTTAATACACTTGTCTTTACCCCGATGATATCATCATGTCAACTTGAAATGGCATAACAACTCGATAAGCTCTCTTCATTCTTACTATTTACTGACTTGTGCTCCATATGCTCCCTGCCATTGTCTATACACTCCTTTCTCCTAAACCAACAAATACATCTCAAAGTCCAATTCTGCTGTACTCACACTTTTGTTCATGCCCGTGGCACACTAGTGTCTCTCGTCCACACAAAGGGTACACACTACTATTTCTTCATACAGTTACACAACCCCCAGGTATTTACTCACCAATCACTTTTCACCACCTAACTTACCCTTTTGCCCACCCAACTACACCCACACTCTTTACTCCCATACTGCCTTCACATACACCCTTTTCACTCACCCCCTCCACTTCCCTTTCATACAGGGGCCTGACGGCTAAGTTGACAGCCCTTGGGATTCGTAGTCCTAAGGGAAGAACGAGGGGATGTGGACTGAACCAAAGCCGGAGTGACCAATACCCCCAAGTCTGGGTCCCAATAGGCAAAGCAGGGCAGCCGCGGGGCATCCGGGAAAGCAGCTAACTGAGCACATTGCAGGAACCTAAACTTGGCATGCAATGCCTGAGCTGCCTGCACCCGAATAAAGTCATCCGGAGATTGGGTGAATTGAGTCACAAACAAGCAACAGTGCTCGCAGGACTCAGGGTCCAAGGTGTCACCGACCCAACAGGCAGCATGGGTTTGATTCCCGACAAAGGTGGAAAGAAATGAGCAGAGTTTCCTTCACCCTGATGCACCTGTTCACCTAGCAGTAAATAGGTACCTGGGAATTAGACAGCTGCTGCGGGCAGCTTCCTGGAGATGTGCAACAAAAAAGGAGGCCTGGTCGAGGACCGGGCCGCGGGGATACTAAGCCCCGAAATCGTCTCACGATAACCTCAAGATACTCTCCCCCACACACACACACATGGCTGCCACCAAAGGGGAGGACAACATGCCAACACATGAATGTTTTGGAGGATTCTCAACACAAGATATAATGAAAGGTGGTTTTCTTGGAAGGTTAGTGATTATTGAAAACCTACTAAAGAATTATGAAGAAAAATTCATTAAATTAGAACTAGAAAATGAAGGTCTCAAGAATTGAGTTTTGTCATTTCAAAGAGTATTTTCCAACAAGGTAAGAAAATTACCAACTTGACTGATAAGGTAAAGAGACAGGAGACACAAATCATGAAACTAGTGAAAGATAATGAGATCGAAAATGAAGAGGGAGTGAATTTTGAAGAAATTAACAAGAAACTACTCATAAGGTGAAAAACTTGAGTGTGAAGTGAAAAAGTGTGAAGTATGCTTGCTCTAAATAGGGGAAGTGAAGTAGGTTATTTTTTATAAATTTTGCAAAATTATCTGTCGTTATGTAAAGCAAATTTATAAACAGGAAGTTACTGAAGCATGGAATTAAGTTTGACCTTTTATTTTGAGGATGGGTGCAAACAGGATTACAATACTTACAACCATTGCTCATCAACGATAAGATTTTACCAAGACAATTTTGTTACCAATTTTAAAATGCTCTCATTCATTCATTATTCCACCAAGGCTTGACTGCTGGAGACAGCTGATGCTCTCCAGGACATAATTTGGCAGAAAGGCATCAAAAGGCAGTTTGTATGAATGTCAAATATATTCACACTTGTAGCAAAAAATTTGGAAATGTGTGCAAAGAAGTTTAGAACTATGGAAAGAAGAATAACTAGAAGTACATAACCCTAACTTTTTCCTTGATGCAGGTAATATCGTTTTTTTTTCTCTCTCTGCAGTGATTCTGGGGAAGAGTCACTACCTCCTGTACAGCCTCACCACGGCCATCCAGCCCCGGATGCTGGTTACCTTTGATGAGCTACTCAACCCTCTACCTGTGTCTGTCAGAGTTGGCCAGGTAAGTCTTCACCTCACAATCACTCACAAACTTGAGTCTCACTTGTGTCACCTCACAAACATTGTCAAATTTTCAGGAGCAATTGACCTCTTGTCTAAATTTATATTATCTTGACTGATATTTAGAAAACAAATTAGTGTAGTTGCATTTCATGTAAGTTTATGCTAATGGTGCTAAAATCAGATACCATATAGAGTACATTCTTGAGGAACGCTGAGACACAGTGATAGTATGGAAGCTGGCGTCACTCTGTAGAAAAGTGACGATGCTTATCTGCATTCAACTTTAATTTTAACACTTTCGCGGCGGTGCAGGCGAGCGTGCGGCGACACTGAAATGTGTGTACTAGTTCCAGTTTTTCTCACCTTAATTCTCATGCTACGTCGTTCGTTTTGGTATCGATGTGTTCGCAATTAAAATCCCTGCAGGGGCATATGCATATAAGGTCCAAAAGTCCGGCGTGACTCCTCCATGGCAAAGCCTAAATCGGTAAAAGTTACTCGTGAGTGCACAAAATCGGTAAAATGTGTATTCTCATTTCAGTTTTCTCACCTTAATTCTCGTGCTATTTCGCTCATTTTAGTATCAATGTGTTCATAATTAAATTCCCTGCAAGGGTATATGTATTTACTGTGAGGTCCAAAAGCCTGGCGTGACTCCCCGCAACAAAGCCTAAAGTCGGCCAACCATTACCTGTGAACGTGCACCAATTGGCACACCCGCATCTTCAGGTGTATACTTGTTTAGTTTAAAACACAAATTTTTGTGTTACATCTTTCATTTTGGTATCAAATTGTTCGCAATATAAAGGCGCGTATTTTAAAACTATTCCCGTAATAATAGAAAAAATAAATGGAATTTTAAATTTAACAAATATTTTAAATTTTGGACGCTCATCAACACAAAATTATTTATATCTTTCCAGTGTTCTGACTGTTCAATTTTCGTGTTACGTCTTTCACTTTGGTATCAAATTGTTCACAATCTAAAAGCGCACATTTTAAAACTAGTCCCATAATAATAGCACAATAAATGGAATTTTAACAAATATTTTACAATTTGGACCACAAAAGTATTTATAACCTTTAAAGTGTTCTGACCTGAATTGTCAGGCTATATCGCCATTATTGTATCAAATTGTGCGCAATCTAAAGGTGCTCATTTTTAAACCACTCCAGATTGATCGAATAAAATTAAAATTTTTAACAAATATTTTAAAATGATGGACGCAGCACGAGTCCATCACTTGTGCTCTCCAGGAGAAAAATTCTGGACTACATAAGAGTTCACGGAGTGCGATAGTGTTAAGAAGAGTAAAGGGTATACCACATGTACATGCCGGCGAGAAACAATGGGCAGAGTTTCTTTCACCCTATGCCCCTGTTACCTAGCAGTAAAATAGGTACCTGGGTGATAGTCAGCTGTCACGGGCTGCTACCTGGGGGTGGAGGCCTGGTCGAGGACCGGGCCGCAGGGACACTAAAGCCCCGAAATCATCTCAAGATAATCTGAAGATAATCTCAAGATAATCATAGGGAAATATTCCGTATGCGTGTGTGGAATTGCTGTGTATTCCACAGAGTAAGTTAAATATGTAATATCTTTTACAGGCTGTTGACGTGGTTGGTCAGGCAGGGAAGCCCAAGACCATCACAGGGTTCCAGACACACACAACTCCCGTTCTGTTGTCGCACGGAGAACGTGCCGAACTTGCTACCGATGAATATATTCCTCTGACATCAATCATGGAAGGTTTTGTCATTCTCAAGAAAAATCCCGATATTGACACTTAAGAAGGATGGGGTAGGGTAGAGGTGTATTCTTTATTATTATTATTATGCAAGTACATTATTTTATCATCAAATCATCATTGTGACAGGTATTAGTTTATCCTCCAAAAATGTTTTATGGAGGAACAAGAACAGAATTTTGAAATTGAACTTCATACATTTTATGTAACTGTGCACTTGTCATTATTTGTATTTAATAAACAAAAGCTGTAAATGTTTTGTTTATATCCTGTATTTATGAGAATTGTTGTTCTTCATCCACTACACAGTCATCAATTCATTTAGTTATGTTTAAAACAAATTTGCAGTGGTATATACAATACTATATCCTTTTCAAGAAGTTTCTTGATGCTTTTCTGAATCTTCGGCAAATCAAATGGCGGCACTTTTTTTTTTTTTCAGGGATATTCCTGCGCGGGCCCTAAGCCTCTGGCTGGCCCACTAAGTGTTGCTTGTTTCTGTTTTACTTGGGCGGAGTATGAGTATTTATAATTCATAAGGTCGCTGCAGTAAGATTTTGCCATATGTGTTTAACAACTTCTGCTGCTCTGTTGAATCTAAATGGCGGCACTGTCACCGGGAATGCACGTATGGATGAAGTAGAGAGACCTGGATGTCCATCTATGCTTTTATATATTTGCAAACTTTATATTATTTATAAGATGGATTCTTCCCTGAAGCATTCACTCTGAAGCACTTAATTCTTAACAAAATTTAATATATGAAAATGTTGAATATATTATTAAGTATATACAGTGTAAACTCCATAATTGAGATTGTTGTTCTAGCTCTGATCGTAATTTAGAGAAATCCATATTTTGGGAAAGTCAGCTTTGACTATGACACCACCTTTCATTGTTTTTCTTTTAGCAAATGATGTATCCTATATTTGCACATTTAAAAAATGTAGACTATAGTTTTTTGTTCTATAGTTTTTAAATGATAAAATTGTTTAAGCTTAATAAAGATTCACTACTGCACTGAATTTGAAAATTGATTGATTAAACTCATTAAATTTTTAGCTGCTGATAAAATTTTGTCATTGCCACCAGTAAGGGAGCCAAGCGGACAGCACACTGGACTTGTGATCCTGTGGTCCTGGGTTCGATCCCGGGCATTGGCGAGAAACAATGGGCAGAGTTTCTTTCGTCCTATGCTCCTGTTACCTAGCAGTAAATAGGTACCTGGGTGTTAGGTGTCACGGGCTGCTTCCTTGGGGTGGAGGCCTGGTCAAGGACCGGGCTGCGGGGACACTTAAAAAAAAAAAAAAAAAAAAACGAAATCATCTCAAGATAACTCGAATGCTTATGTATTAAGGCACAAGCCAAACACACTTGCCAGTATTGTCATCCCTCCCTGGCCGTGATAACTTGTTTTTATATCAATTTAGCTTCATACATGATAAGGTGCTTCTGCCTTCTCATATCTGGTCTAGGCAGACTTCTTTTCTACTCACAAATAATGTCGTGTACAAATAATAGTGTTAAGACTGTTACAGCACAGCAGGAAATATAACTGGACATAACCATCATCACACACCACCTGCACCCTCCTCACTAACTTCCCCCCAGACGGGTGGGGGGCTGTTTTCACTACCTCACTGACCCCCTTTTTTGCCTGCCTGTGCAGCAATACATAAAAAAGTGTGTTTATTTTCCATTTGTAATGTTGCTGTTAAACTTGGCACACTGAATTTGATTCAGAAAAATAGCTAACCAATTTTTTGTTTGAGATGCCATTCGGTTTGAAAAGTTATATTTCTACAGTTCACACTTATTTCGTCATATATATATATATATTGTGACGGTAACGCGTTGGTGTTCGGCTGTTCAAAAGCTAGGGGTATGGCCTCGTCACATATAGAGAAAAAAAAATAGAAAATCTGGAACTTCGTCTGTGGTAAGGTAAGGAGAAGACACACAAAACACAAGTAAATTTTAACAATGAAATTTTAATTACGTTAAAGAAAGCAAAACATGAATAAAATGGACATACAAATTCGTATAATAAAATCAATCAAAATAATAAGAATAATCAAATGGCAAAATGAAAAGTTACGATAAGACAAGTGAGCAAATAACAAGTGTGTGGCAAACAAAGTGAATAGGTGCAGGAATATTGGCTTCAAGCTATCACTTCTCTTAGTACACGTAAGCCTGGGGCTTAGTCTACCAACGAGACGTGTTAACTTGTCGAAAACACGGGATATTCTGAAGACTGAGGTCGTGGCGGCCCCAGACATCAAGTAGTATGGTGGGTGGAGTGCAGTTGCAGCTGAACCCGCAGCCAATCAGCGATGAGCAGGCGACAAGACAGGTAGTTTGGCGGTTTGAGGTGGAGCAGGTGTTCCTGGCTGCATACGTTTTGCTCTCTGGCAAACCTTGGAGATGATGTTGTCATTGTTGGATATTTCTTCCATACTAGTTTTATAGATTTGTAGCGACGTATTTTTGGAGGGAAGAGCAGGTTCAATCTCTTGAAGGAGATTCTCGTCACAATATATATATATATATATATATATATATATATATTAGTATATTTTGGTAGCAGTCTTTCCTGTAGACATATTTTATTAAATATGACCGAAAAAGTAAGATTAATAATTCTAACACGAATTTTCTCAATCTTTCGTACATTATGCTTCACTGTTGGAGGTAAATCAAAAATCACTTCTCCAAAATTCATTTTTATTTCTAGTCTGACGCGACACGGGCGCGTTTCGTAAAACTTATTACATTTTCAAAGACTTCACAAATACACAACTGATTAGAACTTGCATTTCCCTGATTTTATATCTACATTTGAGTGAGGTGGGAAGGGTGATGTGGCATTACATTTGAGTGAGGTGGGAAGGATGATGTGGCATTAGAGGATATTAATAGGGTATTAAAAGTATCAACACAAGACAGAACACGAAACAATGGATATTGAATAGAAGTGTTTGTAGAAAGCCTATTGGTCCATATTTCTTGATGCTTCTATATTGGAGCGGAGTCTTGAGGTGGGTAGAATATAGTTGTGCAATAATTGGCTGTTGATTGATAATAGATTGCTGTTCTAATCAGTTGTGTATTTGTGAAGTCTTTGAAAATGTAATAAGTTTTACGAAACGCGCCCGTGTCGCGTCAGACTAGAAATAAAAATGAATTTTGGAGAAGTGATTTTTGATTTACCTCCAACAGTGAAGCATAATGTACGAAAGATTGAGAAAATTCGTGTTAGAATTATTAATCTTACTTTTTCGGTCATATTTAATAAAATATATATATATATATATATATATGACGAAATAAATATATATATATATGTCGTACCTAGTAGCCAGAACGCACTCCTCAGCCTACTATGCAAGGCCCGATTTGCCTAATAAGCCAAGTTTTCCTGAATTAATATATTTTCTCTAATTTTTTTCTCATGAAATGATAAAGCTACCCATTTCATTATGTATGAGGTCAATTTTTTTTTATTGGAGTTAAAATTAACGTAGATATATGACCGAACCTAACCTAACCTATCTTTATAGGTTAGGTAGCCGAAAAAGTTAGGTTAGGTAGTCGAAAAACAATTAATTCATGAAAACTTGGCTTATTAGGCAAATCGGGCCTTGCATAGTAGGCTGAGAAGTGCGTTCTGGCTACTAGGTACGACATATATATATATATATATATATATATATATATATATATATATATATATATATATTATTATTGATATTGTGGTGAGGTTTTCTATTTTTCTTTCCCAACTGCAATGCGTATGTCGCCAATGTACATGTGGCAGACGCTTCACGGAGCTGTCGGAATCAACAGAGAAAATACGAGAGCAACCGTACAGGGCCTGGGAGCAAGGTCGAGTTAGTCCTTGAGGGTCTCTTCTCAGACTAGCCTCACCTGGTCTATGTTGATCGTTGATCGTTGGAATCTCCTCAATGATTTAACACTTTAAGGGACTCCTAGGGTCCTCATCACATTTATAGTTTAGTGAATAATAGGCAACTCGGTGTTGAAGACACTTAGAGCTGAAGGCTTGAGTAAATAGTTTGCAGTATTCAGAAGTGGTTCAACGGAAACACTGCATAAAGCTTAACAGTAGTTTATTTACTAACAACAACTAATACAAAGGGTGATTGATTTACTTTAGATTGGCGTCAGAAAGGCTATGGTTGCATTAGCGAGACTCTTGACGTCTGGCTAATCGATTCGGATCCACTCGTGGAGAAACACCTGACACAGTTGACAGCCAATCATTAACACGGCAACCCTAACTGCCGGTATGCAAAGGGATCACAAGAATTTCAACCGGATACTCGGGTAATGATGATATGCAATAACTCGCTACACTGTCAATAGGACAGGCACAATATTTATATCACACAATAACTAAATGTGTGGTGTATGTGAAGCTCATATTCACAGACGAGTGTAATGTGATACCACACAGATAAACACATACACCGTCGAGTGTCTAGGTCTCCACCTATACCTGTGTCAGGTATGAGAAGGTGAGAACTGTGGTTGATACCTCAGATCAACACAGACAGACACAATAATACGATAACAAGATCTTGTACTTACAGGTAGGCTACCTCTCTTATTCACTCACTCAGGCACATTTATGCAAGAACTCGTAGGTGGCCTGACAGCTGGTTTCTCTCGTTCTGACGCGAGACCATTGGCGACAGGCTTCCCCACAAACCGTACTTGACACGGAGGGTACTCGCAGGAGGGCGCGCTGTATGTCTATAGACACGCACACACACTGGCACTGGCGGTGAGTAAGGGTGGTGACGTCACGTGGTACAGTGAGGCAGGGCGGCTCAAGGCTAGCTACATGCTCTGGACAGTGGCGGCTGCAGGTTATATTTATTTATTTATTTATGCATATACAAGAAGGTACATTGGGAATGTGAGGATACATAATATGGTAATTACAATCTTGTAAAGCCACTAGTACGCGCAGCGTTTTGGGCAGAAATGGTATTGAAAGCGTTTCGGGCAGAAATGGAAGGAAATGGAAATATGGTACCATGCGGTACACTGGTAAAGTCACACACAGGTTACACACAAGAGTGCAGCGGCACTCCTTAGTTCACTCTAGGTCACTCACAACGATCTCAATTTGTCACCAGGGGTTACCTGATACCAGTCTGTTTCGCTCTGGTGATTTGTCACTATAGGCTTCTGAACAATATAGTCACAATCGGGATTCCGGGCG